GGAACTTTAGGCCATCCTTGGGGAAATGCACCGGGTGTCGTAGCTAATCAAACAGCTGTAGAAGCATGTATACAAGCTCGTAATAAGGGTCGTGATCTTGCTCGTGAAGGTAATGCAATTATCCATGAGGCTAGCAAATGGAGTCCTGAACTAGCTGCTGCTTGTGAGGTCTGGAAGGAGATCAAATTTGAGAGAAGTTTGATAAAATCCCCACAAAAGATATTGTATTTTTATAATAGAACACAAGATAATAGGATAATCCAGTAAATCATCATAATGCGTCTTCAAATGTAGATTTGGTTGTAAATACAACCATAATCAAGAACGAGCTGCAACTTTAAGTTCCATACAAACCAATAGGTAGAAGACGTATATATTTCAGTTACAAAGACTTGTTTCTTCTGTAACATTTATCTGAGATGTTAGAATTTTGGGAATTAGAAGTGACAAAAACTAAGTCAAGCTTATATCTGAGCAATTCTCCAGGGCTAACTTATATCTAGTTAAAGAAATTTAATTCTAGATTTATTATTAGATTTATCTAAATGTATAATATATTTGGAAGTTCAAAAATTAGATTTTTAAAGTGCTTGAGTTCGTATAAATTTCACAAGTCATTATTATAACTTGATATTTATTCTCAAAAAATCTTAGGACTTGTTTGTATTATTTTTAGAATCTATAATGTCTATAAGTTACAACACCTATTAGACTAACGAAAAAAATTAGTTTTTATATTATGAATAAATCAAAAAAGAGAAATTAGTTAGAGTAATCTTAAGATCAAGATAATATAAACTCTATATTATTGTTAAATAACAGTTATAAAATTACAATATAAACTTTATCAAATTGTGTTGGGGAAAAATTATAAAATAAATTGAATTTGTATGTTTCTTTAAGGGTACATACAATGTAAAAGTTTTACGATTTAAGCCATAAATGTCTTCATATATTTATTTAAGGACAAAATAGAAATTCAAAATTTTTGTACATTTAAATCCAATTATTATAAGGACAAAAGAGAAATTCAAAAAATTTTCATCTAAGGTAATTTTATTAGTAGAATAGATATAGATATCAATATGTTTGTTTTTTTTTCCATGACATTGTTAAATTAATCAAGTGGTGTTAAATTAATCAAAGTGGTTTTGTCTTCTTAATGAGGATTCTTGATGGAGACACTGGTCGCTCTCATTTGGTGATCAGGTGCTTCCTTGGATTCTAAAGAAAGAGATGTATGACAAATGCAACAAACTCTCTTGCTATTAGAGGGCTACATCTCATACCGTCCATCATACTTAAAAATAGTAATAGTCTATCTGAAATATATGTATCCCATGGTCATGATGGGAACAACCATGCCAACTACTCTAAAGCTTTAAGAAATTACAATAAACACCACAATTTTGCATTTATATAATGGATGGTTATAGTTTTAGCAATTTTCTTTTACTAACGTGTTAAGATTGATGAGCGTATTCTGAGCTGACAAGTTGGACACAAGAAAATAAGGAAATTGGAGAAAGAAGAAAAAAAAGTGAGCAGTTTTAAACTATCCATGGATGAGCAAGTCTCCATAAGAGTTTGTTTGGATAGATTTTTGGGATGATTTGGATTAACTTTTTTAAATTCTTCTAAACTTAAACTTTTTTTTACAAAGATGAGATTCAACATTGAATCCGGTGTTTAGTATGCAACATATACACATGTAGGATCTACAAATATATCATAATTATTAACAACTATTTATCTTGTAAATGACTATTTTACCATTGATCAATCCAATTCATACTTATGTTAAAGGGTACAATTGTCTTTTGCATCTTCAACCCTTTATTTAACCTATCTTTCCAAACCCACTTACTTAGGTTGGATGAAACTCATGATCATGATTTTAATATTCAGGTCAATTGTAGGCTGAGATTAGGAACCTAAGATTGAATTTTCAATCCAAATATAAGGTTTTGAGGTCTTTTAAACTATTTTCCCTAAACCCATATTGTCAACCTCCCATACCCTCCTACCAAACTACCCCAAATAAATCAAGCCTCATTGTTGTTTTATTTGTTTCTCTCTGTTTTTTTTTCAGCCCAAAGAAGACTTCAAATTTTCAAAAAATAAAAGAAAAAGGCCAACTGAAATACAAGGTAGCGGAGCCACTTTGAGCCCCCCCCCCCCCCCCCCCCGACAAAATGGTCTCTAGATTTGTGAAATTATATATTCATCCATCGATGTAATCACTCGAATTTTAAAAAAAAAATGTAAATTAACTCCTTAAAGTATTGTTATTTAAGGAGGGTGTTCATTATTATTATTTAGGAGAATTACATCTAGATCTCTTGAGATTTATAACTTAATCGTTCAGACCCCTTAACATTTAAAATAATATATATAAACCTTCTGAAGTTTGTACGTGTGTAACACTTAGATCCTTGTAGTCAATGTCCGTTAGTATATTCATTAATAAATTACACTTAAATCTTTTGAAGTTTGTAGGCATGCAATACTTATACCCTTCAAATTTAAAATGTTATACTTAGACACAAAATACTTCAATCAAATATTTTAAATTTTATAATAAAAATTCATGTTATATTATGACATTTATTAAAATAAAATAAAAAATATACAATTATACTATCTATTAGAATAAAACTAAAAAATCAAATAAGGGGTCAAACTGTAATAGATACAATATTTTCTAATTTTAATTGGAGTAATTTGGTAGTTTAATTTGATTGTTTAAACAATCAAATTAAATTATAATAAGTATGATTTTTTAAGAAAAAATTAAATTTTTATTTTTGATTTTATTTCAATAAATGTCATAATAAAATATGAATTTTAATTATAAAATTTAAAATATTTGATATTTTTCTTTGATTGTAATATTTTTTGTCTAAGTATAACATTTAAACTTGAGGAGTCTGAGTATTACACATCTATTAACTTTAGGGGGTCTAAGTATAATTTATTAACGAATATACTAACAGACATATTAATGGACATTAACAACAGGAGTCTAAGTGTTACGCGATTACAAACTTCAAAGGGTATGTATATAATATTTTAAATACTAACGGATTTAAGTGATTATGTGACAAATTTCAAGAGGTTTGAATATAATTCTCTCTTATTATATAGTTGTAATTATGCGCTCATTCTGCATTAGAACCCAACCAAAAGTCCCCAGCAAGTCAGTGTGTTTTAACTAAGGAAAATGCTGCAAAAAAAACTCAAGAAATAAAATTCAAATGAATATCATCCCTTAGATGAGTGGGTTTTACCGAAAAAATTGATAGAATTCACTCATCTAAATAATGATGTGTATTTGAGTTATAATTTTTTAAGTTTTATTTAGATTTTATATTATTGATATTTAACCAATCAATTTTTAGTTTAATATTACTCTTTACTTGTAAAAATTTTACTTTCTGAAAATCAACGATTCGAGTTCCTACCCTTTTTCACTCTCAAAAGTCAGTGTGTTTAATAAAGGGTAAATTGTAAAGGGTACATCAAATTAGACTTATTTGGTAAAAAATATACACTAAAAAATGTAGGATTATTAAGTACTTAATTTTGATACTTATTTGTATTAAAGTACATAATTTGAATTTATCTATTTTTATTGTGATATATTTACCCTCCATTAATTTATGTGTATTTAATGCACCTTTTTTCTTTAAAAAGTGATGCATTAAATATCTTCTAATTTTATAGGAAAACTTTAATACACACACACACACACACACACACACATATATATATATATATATGTTTTTATATATACATAAATAGATATTTTTATATATATTTATATATACACGTTTTTATATATACATAAATACATATATATATATATACATAAATACATATATATATATATATGTATGTATGTATGTATGTGTATACTTGTTGTTAAATCTCTTATCTATATTTTGAATTATCTTTTAATGTACCTTGATTCATACCTTTTTTTTAGAAAGTGGTTTTATTTTTAAATTAATTTAATATCCGAATAGTGTAATAGTGTAACAATATAAAGTGTAACAATGTAATAATAACAGTGTAACACTAACAATGTAACTGTATAACAATAATAGTGTAACAAACTATTTACACAAAATATTGTATTATTACATTTTGTCAAACATATAATTTCATTCAAAAAAGTTCTCCGTTTTGAATTTGTTACCATATACACAAAATTACTGAACACTGTTTTTGTTACAGTATATTTGTTACACTGTCTTTGTTATAGTGTGTTTGTTATACTGTTATTATTACACTGTTATTGTTATACTATTATATTATTCGGATACTAAATTAATTTAAAAGTAAAACTATTTAAAAAAAAACACTTGAATCAAGGTGCATTAAATATAATTTAAAAACAAAAATCACTTTTTTAAAAAAAAATACGCATGGATCAAGGTGCATTAAAGATAATTCAAAATTTAAATAAGAAATTTAATAATATATATATATATATATGTGTGTGTGTGTGTGTATGTGTGTGTATAAATAAGTATACATATTCGTATATACATATATATATATGTATTAACAAATACACATAAATCAAATGTACATTAAATACGTATTTATATGTATTAACAAATACACATGAATCAATGTGCATTAAAAATAAGAGATTTTGAATTAAATGACCATAAAATGGGCATTTATGTCTTTTTAACTCACATTTTGTTCTATATATTTTTTACTAAATAAGTCTAATTAAGTGTACTAGCTTCCAAATAACCCTTGTCTATATTCAAACACCGTAGAGTTTCAAATCCAAACCCACTAGCTTAAAAGCCCACCCAGATGGTGACCGACCACCAAGTGCATGGAGCCCAACTCTTTACCAGAAGAACAAGTTTGGTTACTCACTGTAGAAATATTACAAGAATGCCACTCCCTTCTCAGGAGTAAATGAGATGGCGTGGGCTACGGACAACGAACCTTACGTTCCGCGCAAATACGGAATCGCATCTCAGTAGAGAGAGAGAAGCAAAAGCAAAGAATCGAATCACGCTGTCCTCAGGTGGCGGTAGCCGTTTTCTTTCTCTCTCTAAAATGACTCACATTCTCTCTCTACATGCGTAGATACGCAGATTGAGATAGATGCTTATATTCTTTTCCTCTTTTTTGCTCTCACTCTCCATTAAATACTGTCACTGTTGATGTTTGGTCCAAGAAAGAGATAAAGCTAGAGAGAGATAGAATCGTTACCATTTCACTGATCCATTACAATGGGCTCTTCGTCGAGGCAGAGTAACAGTTACGATCTGTCCTTCAAGATCTTGCTGATCGGCGACTCCGGCGTCGGAAAGAGCAGTCTTCTCGTCAGTTTCATTTCCAATTCCATCGATAATCTCGCTCCTACAATCGGTACCGTATGGATATATATTTTAATATTTTTCAGTTTAGAAATATAGGTTTGTGTTTTGATGTACGAACTAGTAGATAAAATTTAACTCTGCCCGTTGATCTGTGAATTAGTTCTGGAACTCATGATTGATAGAGTTATAACATAGCTACTTCATTTTTGTATATATAGTCGCATACGTACATACATCTATACTCGTGGATAATCATCCAGGTATACTATGATTTGCGTGTTATTCAACGTTTTAACAAGTAAAGTGGATTTGTAATTACTGCTGGACCACCTTTCAGGTGTAATGGCAAGTGTATTGACATGCATTGAGCAATACGTGCCTTATTTTGTGCCCCTGTTTGAGTCGATTTATATGTTTTATTTGATCTCAATGTTGGAGGAATATAGTTTTTTAGATTCGTGGGGTGGTTATATGCGTTGGTGATTGATGGCATATTTTAATGTCATTGTGATAGGGTGAGAAATATGTAAAGAAAGATTCTAATAATCTCATTAAGATGAAGTTCACAATTGGTCTCTGTAAAAATCATTCTATCTAGCTATCAACATTTTGGTGCTATACTACCTACCCAGAAAAAAAAAAAACATTTTGGTGCTATACGTAAGACGTGTTGCCATTCTTCGTTTAAACTTCATTCCCTGTTTTTTCTGATTTGTGAACAGAGCTCAGTTTACAAATTTTTTTAGAACCTTATTAGTAATTCAGTTTCTTCTTGTATAAAAGGTACTCTAAATTCTAGACATATCTGAGATTAAACCTTTTTTTTTTCCTTAGTTCGTAAAACTGTCTCAACTTTATCCAGGTGTGGATTTTAAAATCAAGCTGCTAACGGTTGGCGGGAAGAGATTGAAGCTTACAATCTGGGACACAGGTAATAACTGGCAACAGGTCATTGTTTATTATTGCATAAACTTGCATGTCAATATCTCAGCATCTGTTATGTTGCTTTTTATTTTTCCTGGTTTTGTCCTCCTTATAGGGTGACTGAATATTCAAGTGGTACAGTCTGTTGCAAAAGAATTATCTAGGCTTCTATAATCTTTTTCATATCTTGAGGTCAAATCAGAAATTCAGGCCTAATGGTGCGGGTGAAATATGTTTAGCAGTTGATCTATAAGCCGGAGAACAGAGTTTTATACTAATCCATCAACTAATTAATCTAATTTATTGCACCAATAGTTACATGGATCTCATGATATGATCACTTGGTACGAAGGTAGTAGGTGTGAGAGTTAGTACTATACTGAAGATGGTCGATGACTTCTGTTTTCGAACTCTGTGGATCCAGCAGTATGAGTTGTGTGCTGGTTTTTGCATTTCAAGTCTGGACAGTCATTAACATTGTGTATGGCGGGAGAAGAAAGGCCTCATAATCCATTATATCTCCATTTTCATCCATCATGGATCCTATTCTATTCTGTTGAATGTAGTGTAGCTGGATCTTCTATCCCATTTTGCCCACCATGGTTATAAACCTACTTGAACAGTTCATCTACTAAAAAATATTTGCAGCCATGATTGACCCTATTATGTGAAAGAGACCTCGAGCTTCTCAAGTATTAGAAACTAACTGATGTTTTGTTTCTGTCTTTGATCTATTGGTTGAGGCCAGGTTCTTATCTTATACATGGTGTGATTGTCACCCTCATACAAGGAATGAAAACATCATTATTCATGTATGCTTTTGCCTTCAGGCATTTTTTCATTGCTAATATAAGGATTATCACAACGATTAAACCCTGAATAAAATTGAAGGACTCCTTTAATATTTTTGAAGAGAGCTTGTAGCCCACATTGGAAAATTAAGAACACTTAATGTTAGTTTGTATATATGAGGGGCCACTCCACCAATAGCGAATTGATTTTGGGTTAGATGTTCTAATAGGGTATTAGAGTCGGGTTTGGGGTAATTGGTCGGCCACAGTTGAATTTTTCGATCTGTTGATCCGTCTATTTCGGTTCAACTTCGGTTTGTCTGTCTATATATTTCTGTTCAGTTTGTTAGCCCATGTGCGAGCCTGGATGACACATGAGGTAGGGTGTGAAGAGATTTCGTATCACACATCGAAAAATAAAGTACACATAAGGTTGGTTTGTATACTTGGGGGTTACTTCACCCATAACCAATTGATTTTGGGTTGAATCATCTAACAATATTTCTACCTCTAAATTATAGTGTCCCGTGGTTATTGCATGTAAATTGGCCTTTTCTAGAACAAGAGTTAGTATCATAAAAAGATCATACTTTTCTTGCAGAGCATTCATCATCCCAGTAACACATGATTGTACCTCCCTAGGTTTATTGAGTTTCCATAGCCGCTTCTAGAGAAATATTCAATAGGAATTTTTATGCAAATGAGGATATATATTTTTTGGTCATCTTGTTCAGGAGATTAGGAAACAGAGAATTACTGTATAATACCCAAACAGGCCTACCAGGGGCTTACATTGGTGAAGGGCAGTAGAAAGGGAGCATGGTATTGCAAGGGGGCATTGTACTCTGCTAGAGCTGAGGGGATGGGACCTTTGGAGTCGGGTTGTGGAAAGGAATCAAGAAAGTGTGGAATGAATAATCAAACATGTTAGTTACGTCATTGAAGTGGTCTGAGAACCAGCTTTAGACATAATATATGGTCTGGGAAGGATACCTTCAAGCTAGTATTTCCAAATTTGTTCTGGACTGTTGGCAAGAAAGAGGAGATATGCTTTTAGTGGCATTTAGTTGTGGTGGGCACGACTGGAATCGGGATTGAGAGCCAAATCTATTGATGGTTTCTTTTGTTTGTTGTATGAATCCCTTTATCATCTGCCTATCATGGGTAGGATAATTCTGCATGGAGCAGTAGGCTTGGAGTTCTGCAGTGAGAGGTAGGCTTGGAGTTCTGCAGGGTGCAAGTAGGTGCCAGATGGGATTGTTATTCCCTTGGAATGGGCAGGCATGTAATGTGCTAAGACACTTCAGAGATAGCCTTGTTACACGAATAGTGGGCTATAGATATTAGCCACTGACAACTTGGTAAAGTGAAAGAAGATGCTCACTTATTGATTCTGCGTGTGCAAGAGAGCAGAGAACCTAGGAATCTTATTTTAGTGTATCGCATGGTTGTTGCAGATTGCATTCTCCCCTTTTATCTTTTCTTGGCACCTTCTAGTAATTGCTGTTGTATCCCAAGAAAATGAAGTTAAACACTGCATCTTCTCTTAGTAGTGCTGTTGCCATCGGAAGTTTTCTGTGCAAGAAGTCCTTTAGTTTGTGAAGTTGCAGGATGCTTCTTTCTTGCATAGAATTAACCTTAAATACCATTTCTAAGGTTTGTGTTATTATTATTTGGATGCTGCTTTCTATTCTAAGTCATTTAGCCGTAACATTTATTCTCTACCGCAGTGTTCACAAAAATTATGATTGGTTTTGTAAAATTTATTATATCTGCTGCAGCTGGACATGAGAGGTTCAGGACATTAACAAGCTCTTATTATAGAGGTGCCCAGGGGATCATTCTTGGTATGATATCAACTGTAAAACTCTACTTGTTCTACTGGAGGGTTTTTGAGTGAATTAATTATTTCAAACACTTATTGAGAATGTACTATTCATTAAACTAATCACCTTAAGTTATTGTTAGTACTCAGTCCTCTTGATGCTGCATGTGTACAAATTTGCATTAATATCACAGATTTGTAAGGATTATGCCAATTAACCTTATCCACTGCAAAGCTCAAGTTCTGTAAATCCCATGAGTTTTGTTTCCAATAGTAGGAACACTGACACGATGGCATCCAAAACGTTGCATATAGGAGTCTTTACTATAAAAAAATTTATATCGTCAATGTTAGTGGGGGAAATTATTCTTCGCGAGTTAAAAGTTGCAATATGCACACAATGTTATTTTTCAATTTCATATTATTGTGAGGGTTTACATAGACATGTTTCTCCAGTTCCCGTTATTCCCCTAGCCTCAGTACTCAACTTATTATTCATGATGAAGATCAATTATTTTTTCTACATCAATCTGTGAATATGGTTTTTTATATTCAGTGAGAGACCCTGACTACATGTGTCAATAACCCAATCATCATTATGCCCAAATTTAAGCATTCACTCATGTAAAGAGATACGCAACCAGCTACCAGAGTACCTCAAGTAATCGACCTATTTATCTGCAGATTCCCACGCACTCTTCCCCTTTGCCTTTCGGTAACAACTGATAATATTGAGCAATATGTGAAAAGCCAATGGTTTTCCCTTTCACTGTTTACACTCAGTTGTAATAGAAAACCTTTTCTTTTTGCTCTGTATTATTTATGAGAGACAAGAAGCAGCTGACTTTGTATTTGCCTACTATTGCATTATTTCTATGAGGGTTGCAACAAGCATACATATCTATTTGGTACTTCAACCATACTCTGCTAATTGTCCTAAATGAGAGTTTTCATACTTATGAAGCACAAATTTCCATCGTTTTCATCAACTAATTTTAATTTCTTTGCTTGATTATAGTTTATGATGTGACACGGAGAGAAACCTTTACAAACTTGGCAGATGTATGGGCCAAAGAAGTAGAACTGTACTCCACCAATCAAGATTGTGTCAAGATGCTTGTTGGGAACAAAGTTGACAGAGTAAGTTTTGCATTGTCCATTGCTATGCCTAAAAATTGTTCTGGTATTCAAATCATTTAAATGATTAAGAGGGGTTTCTATTTACGTAACATTTGGAACCACTTATCCAAGCAAAAGACCCTTATAAATTGCATTTATTCTTGCTTTTTAGTTACCTGGCTTGTGTAGTTAATTGCTGCAAGTAAATTTCTCTACATAAACTCTATTTGTCATGTTTGCTTTACCTGTTGCCAGACCTATCAATTCAAAATTATTTAAACATGTTGCGAAAAGTAGAGAAATTAGAGGAAAATTTTATGAAATGATCTGCAGTATGTCTTTGTGCTCATCTTCACTCCTTAATAGTGCTAGTGAAAGATTGTGCAGACATGCCATCCAACTTTATTCTTCTGGTCTAACACGAGAAAACTAAACATAAAATCTGTTCTGCTGTTGTCTTTTCTTATTTTCACGTTGCTGCGCTTGTATATAAGCAAAATGAAATGCAAACAGGTAATCACATACACCAACTGTCCAGAGTCCAGAGTATGCTAGACAGCACAACCAACAAAGGAGAACATTCACATTTGAGTAGATGGACCTGACTCAAACAAAGACTCAAACGCTGAAAGTTGAGACTAAGTCATTGGGTCTGCCCCATCTACACTTGGGCAGTATAATATGGCATTCCGCTTGATCATTAAGTATCAGTAACCTAATCAGCTTATAAGTATCAATTGGCTCATATTAAACTTGTGTGTTTCAAGCTACCTTCTTCAGCTTTTGTGTGAGAGGACTTATAACAAGGTTGTGTTCAATGTCAGGTATCATCATCGTTTGACACCCCACAGAAGTCACTACATCCAATTGCAAAGCTTTTATTTGGTTTAGTGATTCTGTAATCTATATTCTGCCCTTTCCAATTAAAGAATTCGCTTGTGCCCTAGCATGCCCCTTATTTTGGCTTTTTGCCTGCTTGTAATTGTCAGAGCTCTTTGCTAGAAGATTTTGTCAGGCTTAGTGGTCGCTTATTCCCTTTCTATAAATTATTTACATGAAGATTTTTTTCATCGGCTGGGTATATACTATTTTAGTCTGTTAATGTGTGAAGCCTTATTGTTCTCATGATTAACTAAAAACTCATTCCATATGTAATTTCAGGAATCTGAAAGGGTTGTAAGTAGGGAAGAAGGGATTGCTCTTGCAAAAGGACTTGGATGTTTATTTCTAGAATGCAGTGCTAGAACGCGGGAAAATGTGGAGCAATGCTTTGAAGAGCTTGCCTTAAAGGTAAAGGAATTCATGTTTTTCACCTGACCCGCAGGATCTACCATTATCAGATGAACATTGATTACACAAGAAATCTTATATCAATCTATATCTATACTATTTATAAATGTCAACATATGTGAACATCTTTTGATTTTCTATTTTATCCCTAGTTATTATTATAAAGTCAATTATATCCTCATATTTTTATCTAATTTTTACTTTCTATACTAATTCGATTTTTAATACTTTTAGACTCCAGTACACGTAGCACATGACTTCCAAATTTTTTTGAATTTATTTATAAGTAGTACACTTACATACAGTTTTTTATATCTATGTCTATATCAATATGAAGAAGCAAAGTTCAATGTATGATCTCTCATTATATACATGTAGGTACTAGATCGTATTTTTCAATATACAACTATATGACAATATTATAAGCAAAAGTATTACAATCTAATCAATCTATGTAACAAAAAATGTAATCAATTTGTAATATAATTAGATGCACATATTTAAGAACGACAATCTTACAGTCAAGCTCCATTATAAACAAAAGAGGAAATGTCTAAAAGGGGCCTGAGAGATGCTTAAATAGATTAGGTTAAAATTGGGTTTAGGAAGAAATAAGATAAGGATTAATTCTTCGACACTTAATTTATTGCTTAATTCAACTACACATACAATCATACTTTTTTTTATAGATTTAACAAAAAATTTATTATATAAATTTTTTCATGAGCAATGCAAATCGTGCATTGCTAGTTCCAATAATAGATACAAATGTTTATATAAATAACAGTTGACATAAATTTCCACGTGAAATGGGTGGTGAGACTGGAAAGCAGGGAGTTTTGAGAACATGATTGTAGTACTCATCCTATAAATGGCAAGTGTACCAAAAATCCATCTTTAATTCTCTCTCTAATTGTTGAAAACCTTTGGATTATGAACAACTGCTGTGGGATTAGATAATGTAACACTCTTGTAATTTACAGATTATGGAGGTTCCAAGACTTTTGGAAGAAGGGTCTACAGTAAAGGGAAGTATCGTAATGCCGAAACCAGAAAACCAGGCACCTTCTCCACCTCCTAGTGGTGGTTGCTGCTCATGAAGTACTACCACCAACGCCCAAGTCCAGTAGTGGCACTGGTGATGGGCACATACGCCGAACTCCTCCCATAACAATGGATGATAACATTGTTTATATGACAATTTCTTTTCTTTTCTTTCCTTTTTTTCTTACTGCTGTTGTGCTAAAGTTGTCCCGGTCACATTTACAGATGTTCTGCTGTTCTGGGAGTGTATGGACAATCCAATAACATCCTTATTAGCTTGTGTAAAGTTGTTTGCTTTGTTATTTTTTTTTGTTTTTTTTTTGTATCTTTTGTATTTGTTATTCTCCTCACCCAGGTTGTTACAGGAACAAAATCGAATGTATTTTTTATTTTATTTAATTTAATGTGAGTTCCATTAACTCGTTTTCTACATGAGCCACAAGAAGTTCCTACATCCTAACAGTACACGGCACGCACTCACGAGTACGATACACTTCTTTAATTTTAAACAGAACAAAGAAGAGGAAATGCATTAGTTATCTTCAGGTACTCAAACCGGACTAATAGGAAAGAAGAGAGCGACGACTTAACAGTACAGAACTAATTAAGATATGCAGTGAAAACCCAAAATTAATCTCTTCAAAAGATGTGGGTAAGACTACAAATGACTTACTTTTTTAAAATCCCGCTATGGACCTCATGCTCTGAATAGGGTTTGTGATGGTAAATGAAATTCCATTAACCTACAGATAAAGCATTTGTAAGAGTAAATAAAACAGGTGAGCACCCACATAGGAAGTGTTTGGGAACCACCTATGCAGGCTACAGGGGAGTTATCCCACATCATATAAAGCAGTCTCTTTACACGTTGAGGGCAAAAAACAACCCCAGAAGTTGAAACAAAGAAGAATCTGGAAACTTCTTCCCAGAGCAGAAAGACTATAGCACATGTCCAAGGGAAGTGAATAGCAAACTTGATCTTCTGCTGAACCTCAAGTATTATAGGACACCTACTTTTCTGGAGCAGCAGTTGAACACTTACCAGATTCAGGTTTAGTGATTTTAATGTTTGGAGGCTGCATATACGATACAAAGGTCAATGCACTAAGGGCATAATTATACCACTTTGCACTAACTGAATCACAAGATTAGCAAAAAAATGCAAGCATAAACCTCCACTTTGGAATCACTCTCTGCGAGCCTTTGCTTTATGTCTCTAGCTATGGAAAAGAAGACTTGCTCCACGTTGAAATTTGTTTTTGCACTCTGTCCAACAAGTTGCAATAGTGTTAAGAGTTATCTAAAGGGCTATATAATCTACAGAAAATATGTTCGATGCATCCTCCATGAGCGAGATTCTTCCCATGCCAATGTATAACATGCACCTACGTGAACATCAAATGACCACCAATGCAAAAAGAAAAGCAACAATAAAAAAAGGGAAATTGGAAAGAGGGACACCAAATTAGACTTAACTGTAAAAAGTATACAGAAAAAAATGTTAGGTAATTAAGTCCTTAATTTTGATACTTATTTATATCTAAACACATTATTTGAATTTTACTGATTTTTTTGTGACATTTTTGTCCTCCATTGATCTATGTGTATTTTTGTTATAAAGTGGTGCATTAAACATCTTTTAATTTTACGAGAGAACTTTAATATTCCATATTTATATGTCCTTCCTTGATTCATGCATATTTTTTTTTTTGAAAAGTGATTTTGTTTTCAAATTATATTTAATGCACCTTGATTCATGCGTATTTTTTTTTTGGAAAATGATTTTGTTTTCAAATTTTATTAATATTTGAACAGTGTAACAGTGTAACAAGTCATTTACACAAAACATTTCATCTCCGTTTTTAATTTGTTACTACATGTACAAAATTACTGAATACTATTTTTGTTATAGTGTATTTATTACACTGTTTTTGTTACACTATTATGGAGTTCGAATATTAACAAATTTTGAAATTGAAACAAATGATATATTCTAAACTAAATGAAATATTAAAATTATCCTATAAAACTAGTAGTATTAAATATTTAATGCATAAATATAATTTGAAAACAAAACCACTTTTTTTAAAAAAATAAGCATGAATCAATATACATTAAAGATAAGAGATTTTGAATTAAATGTCCCTAAATTTCAACGCTTAATAAATGTCTTGTTAAAGTATTTAGGAAAGAAAATTTTACAAAAATGGGCATTTACGTCTTTGTATCTCAGCTGTTTACTTTTTTCCAAAATATTTTGTTATGTGTACTTTTTTACAATTAAGTCTAATTAGGTGTACCGCTTTCAAAAGAACCCATAAAAAATAGATTTTTTTATGGTGCCTGTATGTGTCAATAGAATCTAGTGTATGTTGGGTTTCTTTTTGTGGAGTCTAGTTTGTGTGTGATCCGGATGATGACCCGATCCGAAATAATATTGCGTGGTTTTTTAATGAAAATTTTTTGAGGCTTGGCCCAAGCCGTAGCGCTCATGGACGAATCCTCGAGAAAATATTTTGGGTCCCTTTTTGCAGCCCTGTGCGCAGTACATATATAAATTGTTATTCGGTAATTAGGGTTTTGGATTGATTCTATACGGCTGCCAACCTCTCTGTATTCTTTCTTGAAAATAGTGAAATCTTTGCGGTTTCGTGGACATAGGCAAATTGTCAAACCATGTAAATTCTATAGTATGATTTTTTGGATTGCATTCTTATCATTCTTTTCATTAATTTCACTTTATTGTCATTGTTTGATTTCACAACAATTGGTATCAGAGACAGGTTCAAGTCTGAAATAAACAATGGTTGGAGAAGAAGTGAAGACATCTGGGATTGAGAAGTTCGATGGCATATATTACGGGTACTGGAGGATGCAGATAGAGGGCTACCTCTATGGGAAGAATCTTCATCTTCCATTATTGGGGACGAAACCAAAGAGTATGAAGGATGAAGATTGGAAACTGTTAGACTGACAAGTTCTAGGGTTATTCGGCTGACCTTTTCAAGATCAATTGCACACAACGTTACCAAGAAAAAGCCCACTGCAAATCTCATGGCAGCTTTGTCAAGTATGTATGAAAAGCATTCTGCGAATAACAAGGTGCATCTGATGAAAAAGTTATTCAATCTGAGGATGACAGATGGTACGTCTGTTACCCAACACTTGAATGAGTTCAATACCATCATCAATCAATTATCATCTGTTGAAATTGAATTTGATGATAAGATTTGGGCTCTGATATTGCTGGCATCACTGCTAAATAGTTGGGAATCCATGAGGATGGCTGTTAGTAATTCTGCTGGTAAGATGAAACTTAAACACGATGATATTCATGATTTAATTTTGGCTAAGGAGGTGCGCAGGAAAGATTCTGGTGAGACCTCGGGATTGAGTTCTGCTCAGAATGCTGATACTCGAGGGAGGTCATATGACAGAAACTACTCAAATAAAGGAACATCAAAATCAAAGAACAGGGGCAAGAACAAGTCAAGATCTGGACAACAGCAAACAACTTACTGAAATTGTGGCAAAATTGGCCACATAAAGAAGAACTGCAAAAATATGAAAAAGACGGAAAGCGATGGTGCGAATGTAGTGGCTGAAGAAGTGCAAGACGCACTATTACTTGCAGTTCATAGTCCAGTTGATGACTAGATACTGGATTCTAGGGCATCTTTTCAAACCTCCTCTCACCGAGAAATCACGTAAAATTATGTTGTTGGTGATTTCGGGGAAGTGTACCTGGCTGACGGACAGGCACTGAACATAGAGGGGACAGGAGATGTTGATATTACACTTCCTAATAGGAACGTGTGGACCTTAAAAAAGGTCAGACACATTCCCGAGTTCAAGAAGAATCTTATTTCTATGGGATAACTCGACGACAGTGGTCACTTAGTAGTGTTCTCAAATAGCACCTAGAAAGTTTCTAAAGAAGCACTGGTGCTGGCCTGAGATAACAAGACTGGCACTTTGTACATGACAGACGGTTCTAGTGATACTATTGCCACCACCACTATAGAGAGTACTGCAGAGCTATGGCATTGCAGACTTGGTCATATGAGTCAGAAAGGCATAAAGGAACTTGTGTCAAAAGGTAAGCGACCAGAACTGAAAGCAGTTGATTTGGGCATATGTGAGAGCTGTATACTTGGGAAGCAGAAAAAGGTCAGTTTCTTGAAGAGTGGCAGAGCTCTAAAATCAGGAAAACTAAATCTTGTACACACAAATATATGGGGACCCTCCCCAGTGACATCCCTTGGACGTTCTCGATACTATGTCACGTTCATTGACAACCATAGTAGAAAGGTATGAATTTATTTTTTGAAGCATAAATCTGACGTGTTTGATGTGTTTAAAAAGTGGAAGACTCTAGTTGAGACAGAGATAGGCCTAAAGTTAAAATGTTTAAGGTCTGACAATGACAGAGAGTACATTGATGGAGGATTCAAGGAGTACTGCGCAGCTCAAGGTATCAGAATGGAGAAGAACATTCTTGGGACACCACAGCAAAATGGCATTGCTAAGTGCATGAACAGAACCATCAATGAGCGTGTTAGGAACATGAGGCTGCACGTAAGGCTACTACCTACATTTTGGACAGAAACAGTGAACACTGCAGTGTACCTAATCAATCGTGGACCATCGGTTCCATTGGAGTGCAGACTACCTGAAGAGGCTTGGAGTGGGAAAAAGGTTAAAATTTCTCATCTTAGAACCTTTGGTTGTGTTTCTTATGTTCTTGTTGATGCTAATGCTCGCAGCAAGCTTGAGGCGAAATCAATAAAATGCTATTTTATTGGTTACGGAGATCAGACATTTGGTTCTCGATTCTGGGATGAGCAGAGTCGAAAGATCATTAGGAGCAAAAATGTGGTGTTCAATGAGAAAGCTATGTACAAGGACAAGTCCAGTACAGTTGCTGATACAATTCCTCAACAACCCGAGCTTGTCGACCTACCAGAGGTCAGAGTGCAGTGCAGGGACGACAATGATGGTGAGAGTGGGTCCAGTGTGCCCATTCCCTTTATTCCGCAATTAGATCTTGAACCATCCACACCTGTAGTAGCGACTCATAAGTCTTCCAAGACTATCCGACCCCCACAGCGATTCTCGCCTATACTAAGTTTTATTTTGTTGATAGATGGTGGAGAACCGCCAAGTTATGAAGAAACTTTGCAAGATGAGAATTCGAGCAAGTGAGAGTTAGCCATGAAAAAGGAGATGAATTCTCATTCCCTGCTAGGGAATTAGACATGGGAATTAACAGAACTTCCATCTAGGAAGAAAGCTCTACACAACAAGTGGGTGTACCGTGTGAAGACTAAGCATGATGGCAGTAAGAAGTACAAGACAAGACTAGTTGTAAAAGGCTTTCAGCAGAAGAAGGGCATTGACTACTATGAGATCTTCTCTCCTGCTGTGAAGATCACAACAATTAGGCTAATATTGGCAATTTTTGCTACTAAAGATTTGCATCTTGAGCATTTAGATGTGAAGACGACATTTCTTCATGGTGACTTGGAAGAAGACATTTACATGATTCAGCCATAAGGGTTCATTGTTCAGGGACAAGAGAATCTAGTCTGCAAACTGAGAAAGAGCTTGTATGGCTTAAAACAAGCTCCTAGACAGTGGTACAAGAAATTTGACAATTTTATGTGCAGTTCAAGGTACATCAAGTGTCAGGAAGATCATTATTGTTATGTCAGGCAATTTGACAATTATTACGTTATCTTGTTGTTGTATGTGGATGATATGCTCGTTGCAGGGTCCAACATTGAGGAAATTTGAAGAAGCAGTTGTCAAAACAGTTTGCAATGAAGGATTTGGGAGCTGCAAAATAAATCCTTGGTATGAGAATCATCAGAGACAGAGTCAAGGGCACGTTGAAATTGTTGCAGGCTGAGTATGTGAAAAATAGTACTCAGTAGATTCAACATGGATCAAGCCAAACTAGTTGGCACACCGCTGGGTAGTCACTTAGACTCAGCAAAGATCAGTCATCCAAGACAGAGGAGAAACATGACTACATGAGTAAGGTTCCTTATGCTTCAACTATTGGTTCACTCATATATGCTATGGTCTGCACAAGACCGAACATTGCCCATTTAGTGAGAGTTGTGAGTAGATACATGAGCAACCCAGGAAGACAACATTGGGAGACTATGAAGTGGATTATGAGGTACCTGAAAGGTTCCTCAGAAGCATGTTTGTGTTTCATTGGAGATAGCTTGAAGTTATAGGGTTTTGTTGATGCCGACTTGGCCGGAGACACTGATAGTAGGAAGAGCACCACCGGTTTTGTTTACACCTTGGGTGGTGCTGCCGTGTCTTGGGGTTCCAACCTGCAGAAGAAAATATCTCTTTCTACTACAGAGGCCAAGTATGTTGCAGTGTCAGAGGCTTCAAAGGAGATGATTTGATTATAGAGTTTCTTGGAGGAACTGGGTAAAAAGAAACAGAAGGAAACTCTTTACAGTGATAGTCAAAGTGTCATATTCTTTGCCAAGAATCTGACATTTCATTTCAGGACGAATCACATTCAGATTAGGTATCATTTCATACGGTCCTTACCTAATGATGGTCAGTTGATACTTGAGAAAATCTGTGGAACTAAAAACCCGGCAAAAATGTTGACTAAGGGTGTTATTATTAAGAAGTTGAAGTTGTGTGCAGCTTCAGTTGGTCTTTTGGCTTGAGTACAAGAGGATGAGTTGTAGGGATAAGGGACTATTCTTGGAGGATTGCGGTTGATGTTGGTGATTGAACTAGTCTCCAAGTGGAAGATTTGTTGGGTTTCTTTTTGCGGAGTCTAGTTTGTGTGTGATCCAGATGATGACCTGACCCGAAATAATGTTGCGTAGTTTTTTAATGAAAATTTTCTGAGGCTTAGTCCATGGAGCGGAGGCTTGGGCCAATAGGCCCAAGCCATAGCGCTCATGAATGAACCCTCGAGAAAAAATTTTGGGGCCCATTTTGTAGCCCTGTGTGTATGACATATATAAACTGTTATTCGGTGATTAGAGTTTTGGATTGATTCTATACGACCACCACCCTTTCTGTATTCTTTCGTGAGAATAATGAAATTACTGTAGTTTTGTGGATTTAGGTAAATTGTTGAACCATGTAAATTTTGTGTTGTGTGATTGTTTGGATTGCATTCTTTTCATTAATTTCACTTTATTGTCATCGTTTGATTTCACAACAATCAGAACTCACTGTCTCAAAAAATTTGATACCATACTCATCAGTCAGTGCCTGACCCCGTGATGTTGGCACAACCTGCCATACAAAGGAAGGAGAAAGAAAGAGAGAGAGAGTAGTTAATGATAATGCTTAAAAGCTAGCAGTTTGAGTACAAATTATAGGCAAGTATATTCATTACCCTTTTGCTCTCGTCCATGTCATCTTTGTTACTAACCAGTATCTTGTTGACATTATTAGAGGCATGCTGCTTTATATTCCTGATCCAGTTTCGGATGTCTGCAAATATTTAAACCAAGAATCAGGATATACATCCTGTTTACTTGACATACCATGTAAGGAATATGCCCGACAAAAAGAGAGACAGAAGAGAAGAGTCTAGGAAATGGAGATACTGTTGAAGGGTGATTCATCTGCGACATCATAGACCAGCAATATACCCATCGCTCCCCTATAATAAGCTATAAAAATAAAGAAGATCATCACGAAAATAACAATCAAGGTTAGCCACCCATTTTAAGCAACATTTATCAAAGATCTATAGAAAATGGATGGTAACTTAATGAAGTTCCATCACCAGCTGAATCATGTGCTACAATATTTTACAACTTAATCATTCATTGACCAAGAAATAATGTAGGCTGAACTGGTACAAGGAAAATCCTCTTTTCTCACTCTATATCTGCTGTGATTTACTTCTTTCCATATTCTTTCTTGTTGGTGCTTTCTGGCTCTGATTGCTAAACTTTCTTGTTGCTCCATCCTTCTTTTTTGTGCTTCTTTAATCAATACCAGAAACAGAGGTGCGTCTAAACATTCTCACAAGGTAAATAATTGTATTAATCCCAAAGGTATAGATATCGCTTTAAGACTCAAATCTACCATAGGAGCACATAGCACATGTTCGAAATGGTGAATTGATCCAATGTATTGGTGTTCTTACAAATAGTTGAACTGGGTCTGTTTTTTTTTTTCATTTTATGGAGATCATCTGCAACTATCTTTTCTCCATGTTGAAACTGATTTTGGATGTGTGGTTGTACAAAAACTTGTTTTTACCTTGGAATTGATCAAACCAAGTAGGAAGTATTCTTATTATTAATTGCAATACATGTTCTCTCTTCTCACTTTTACTTTCTCCATACTCGGTTATTTTGTTGTCATTGTGTAGCGGATACAACTTTCTATAGAGTTTCTAGTGAATTTGCTCTGCATCTGCTGAAAATCTTTGCTCAACTATGCTACTTAAGAGCCAAAAAAGGGTAAAAAAAAAAAGAAAGAAAAAAGAAGTCAAGAATGGCCGTGTCAATTGGGTTCTTTGTTTTGGGGAAATTTGCAGAACTTTTTGTGGATTACTTGGTGGTTCCTATTGGATGTCAGTTTGGATATCTATTTTGCTACAACAACAACATTCAAAATCTTAGAGACGAGGTCAAGCATCTGGAAAATGTAATAGCTGGGTTGAAGCTATCAGTAGATGTAGCCAAAAATGACATAGAAGTTATTGGACCACATGTCCAGGGCTGGCTAAAAGAAGTGGATGCAGTCAAGAATGAGGTAGAGCAAGTTCTTGAACATACAAACAAAATTGGAAAGGGGTGTCCGAATCTGAATGGATGGTGTTCAAATCTGCTATCTCGTTACTCATTGAGTAGGAGAGCAGTGAAGAAGACTCAAAACATTTGTAAACTCAAAATAGATGGTGAACAGTACATTAAATTTTCATAGCCTGCACTACCAATGCCATTGGTGTCAAAATCAATAGGTCTTAAAGTCTTTGAATCCAGGATGTTGAATACACAAGAAGTGATGGATGCTCTGAAGAATGATGAGATCAATATGATTGGGATATGTGGCATAGGTGGTGTGGGCAAGACAACAATGGTGGAGGAAGTTGCCAAAAGCGCAAAGGCCGAAAAGTCAATTGATATGTTGCCATGGCTACGGTTTTGAACAACTAAGAACTGATGAAGATTCAAGGTGGCCTTACAAGCATGTTGAGTTTGAGCCTTGAGAAGGAAACCAATCTTCTTGCAAGAGCAGATAGACTTTTTACAAGACTATCAAATTGTTGGTTACCCGGGGCCAGAAATATACCACAAATACGATATAAACAAAGATGATATCTTTATTTCTCTCTCTGGAATAAAATAGAAGAATTATTACAAAATATTCTCACAAAGATCTCTCTCGAATCTCTTTCTCTCTGTTTCTTCCTCATTGATCTTAAGCATGCTTCTGGCCTTCACTAAGCTTCCTATTTATAGGGAGTTTTCTGGCCAAATAAGTTAAGGAAGAGGGAACACATTTAAGGCTTTGTCAAAGCTTCAGCCGTTCGCCGTCAAGCAATCCACCAGCAAGCCATCAGTAGGGTGGCTACTAGGTAGTAAAGTCAGCTACTGGGTAGCATTCTGATGGAGCTGGAATGAGTTGGAACCTTCAAATATCCCCTTTCAGAACCATCGGAAAAGAATGTAATCAGACATTCATTCCAGCTATGTCTCTGCATAGGTCAAGCTTATCCCGAGTAACGACCTTTGTCAACATGTCTGCTGGATTCTCCTTTGTGTGGATCTTCACTAGTTTCAATAACTGTTGCTCCATCACTTCGCGTATCCAATGATAGCAAATATCAATATGATTCGTCCGAGAATGGTACATTGAGTTCTTGCTCAAGTCCAGAGCACTTTAACTATCGCAATGCACCTTTTATTCCTTCTGCTTAATACCTAGTTCTTAGAGAAAACACTTTAACCACAACATTTCCTTACCAGCTTCCGCTACTGCAATATACACTGCCTTTGTCTTGGATAAAGCTATGCACTTCTGCAACCTTGACTGCCATGACACAGCTCCCCTACAAAAGTGTAAAGAAATCCATAGATTTTCTACCATCAAGATCTCTTTCCATATCTGAATCTGTATAGCCTTCCAAAATTGGTTCAACTCCGCCGTAACACAAGCATATCTTCGATGTACCCTTAAGGTATCTAAGAATCCACTTGGATGCCTCCTAGTGTTCTTTCCCTGAATTTGACAGAAATTTACTCACCATGCCCACTGCATGGGCAATATCTAGCCTTGTACATATCATTGCATACATTAGACTCCCAACTGCTGAAGAGTAAGGAATCATTTCCATATCTTCTATCTCCTTTTTTGATGAGGGACATGAATTCTTGCTCAACTTGAAATGATTTGCCATTGGGAAGCTGACTGGCTTGGCAGTATCCATGTTGAACCTCTGGATCACCCGTTCAACGTATTTCTCCTGTGATAGCCACAATTTCTTGGTTTGTCTATCATGACCAATCTGCATGCCTAGTATCTATTGAGTTGGACCTAAGTCCTTCATATCAAAGGATTTGGACAGTTCCTTCTTCAATTGGCTAATCTTTATTGCATCATTTTCGACGATCAACATGTCGTTAATATAAAGGAGGAGTGGAATGAAATTGCCATTCGAGAATCTCTGAATGTAAACACACTGATCTGCTGCAGTCCTCTTGTAGCCTTGAACCACCATGAATGATTCAAATTTCTTATACCATTCTTTGGGCATTTGTTTGAGGTCGTACATACTCTTCTTCAACTTGCAGACCAGATTTTTCTTTCTTGGAACCTCGAAACCTTCCGGCTGTTCCATATAGATTTCTTTATTTAGATCTCCCTGAAGAAATGCAGTTTTTCATGTCCATTTGTTCAAGCTCCAAGTTTAAACTGGCTACTAATCCGAGAATGACTCGAATTGAGGTCATCTTAACAACTAGTGAGAAAATCTTATCAAAGTCAATTCCTTTCTTCTGTTGAAATCCTTAACGACCAATTGAACCTTATACTTCACCAATTTCCTACTTCCATCTTTCTTCAGCTTAAACACCCATTTATTCCTCAGTGCTTTGTTGCCTTTTAAAAGTTCAAGAAGCTCATAGGTTTGATTTTTCTGCAGAGAATCCATCTCATCTTGCATGGCTTGCATCCACTTGTCTTTATTTGTATGAGCTTGTGCCTCCTGAAAGCTCTCCGACTCCCCCTCATCAGTAAGCAGAATATAGTTTGACTCTGGATATCTACTCGACGGAATGCATCTTCTTTCGGATCTTTGTGATTGAGGCTCGTTAGCTTTATAAGGTACACCATCCTTTGGTTGCTGTGATGGTCCTACAACATCTGGTGGAGGGGGTTGTTGCTCCCCCTGCTCAACATCTTCATCATCATCTTGCTCTGCTTCTGTAGTTTCATCTTGCACTTCGTAATTATCTGTACCGAACTGTAATGGTGCTGGGTCTGGAACAATGTCCTGTGAACTAGAACTAGAACTGCTGGACTTTGTGAAATTTTCAAAGTCCTCATGCACCTGGTTTTCATGGAACACCACATCTATGATCCTGATGATCATTTTGGCCTTTGGGTCCCACAATCTGTATCCAAATTCTTCATCTTCGTAGCCTATAAAGATGCACTGAGTGGTCTTGACATCAAGTTTCTGTCTTTGCTCCTTCGATACATGTGCAAATGCTTTGCACCCAAAAATTCTTAAGTGAGAATATGAGAGATTCCTACTAGATCACACCTTCTCCAAAATATCAAAATTCAATGAATATTGATGGTGATTTGTTTATCAGATAACAAGGGGCACAAATAGTTTCACCCTAGAATGGCTTCAGCAGTTTTGCCATACTAAGCATGCATCAGGCTCTTTCCATAATGGTTCGATTCATCCTCTCTGCTACTCCATTGTGTTGTGGGGTACGTGGAATAGTCTTCTCATGTCTAATACCAGAATTTTCACAGTATGCTTCAAACTCTCTGGAAGTATATTCGCCTCTATTGTCTGTTCGAAGGCCCTTTAGCTTCATTCTTGTTTCTCGCTCTACCATGACATAAAATATTTTGAAGCATTCGAGCACTTCGTCCTTCATCTTTAGGAAGTACACCCATACCATTCGTGAAACATCATCAATAAAGGTCAGAAAATATATGTTGCCGCCCAACGATTCCACCTCCAGGGGACCACAAACATCAGAGTGTACCAGGCTTAACAACTCTAATCTCTTCTTCATAGAGGAACTGAACGAGACTCTATGTTGTTTACCAAACAAGCAATGATCACAAGGATTTAGTGCAACATCCTTGGCAATTGTGATGAGATTCTTCTTTGCCAAGGTAAACAATCCTTTTTCTCCCATGTGACCAAGTCTCTGGTGCCACATATTTGGTGAAGCCCTCATTTTCAACTGCATTGAGGTTGTCTGAGGAAACCTTCACATGGGTCTTATAAAACGTGCCACAAATATGTCCTCGAGCGACAACCATTGCACCTTTCGTGAGCTTCCATATACCATTGTTGAAATGGTTATCGTAGCCCTGTTTGTCAAGGGCTATCCCAGAAAGTAGATTTAGCCAAAGGTCGAACACGTGTTGGATATCCTTCAATACCAATG